CGGCTGCCACTAAGAGAAGGGGCACAATAGCTAGGGTTTGAGGAAGCAGCCTCTGCGAGGCCATTCCATGTGGATAGCAGGTGCATGTGGGGCATATTTCCCCCCCCCCACAGGAAATGGCAGGGACCGGCTGTGCATGCTTTTCAATATTTTAGGGGAGGGCTTGTTTTGGGGGGAGGGCTTAATTTAGCGCATGCACTCAAAAGTCCAATTGGGTTTATTATCTGGGGAGGTCTTATTTTCAGGGAAACAGGGTACTTATTCACAGATAATTTTAGGGAGAGGGCAAAATATTCTCTTATCCTTTCAATATGGCAATGTTTATGTTGTGGCAGCAGCTGAATGAAAAAGATCCTTATCCTTCTCCACCTATTCATAATCCACAGGTGCAAAGTCTGGAACAACACAACCAAGTTCTGGTCACAAGATGGAACTTTTTGAAAGAACAAGACAATTCCCTTTCTGATTTTGACATCAAACTTCTCTATGACCGGTACATGAATAAACTGAATCTCGAAATGCGATCTATAGATGCGGAAAAAGAACAGCTGGACTCAGAAATTGATGAAGTGCTAGTTTCTATGGATTCCTTCCGAAACAAGTGAGTCTCTTTTCTCTTTTTCTTTTTGCCCTTCATAGGTTTGTTGAACATACCTATAAAACTTTTCTATTTTTCTATGCATTTTAATAATTGCATTCCTAGATACTGCATAAACGAAATTATGCCAAAAGGCCTCTGTGGTGAAGCTTTTGTTACCATGTAATGCAAAGTTCCTAGTGATCTTGAAATAGGAAAGGCAATCACTAACTTCTGTGGCAGTGGTGGGATTCAATTTTTTTTACTACCCATTCTGTGGGCGTGGCTTGGTGGGTGTGGCATGGCTTGGTGGGCGGGGCAGAGGAGGATACTGTAAAATCTACATCCCTTCCCCATTCCAGGGGAAGGTTACTACGAAATCTCCATTTCCTCCCGATCAGCTGGGCCTGGGGAGGCAGAGAATAGATGAGGGCGGGGCCAGTCAGAGGTGGTATTTACCGGTTCTCCGAACTACTCAAAATATCCACTACCTGTTCTCCAGAACTGGTCAGAACCTGCTGAATACCACCTCTGTTCTGTGGTGCAGAAACTTCTTTTTCCTGATGGATTTTTGTGGCCATACCCACCATATAACCCTCTCCAATTCTGTCTTATTCTTCACTCCTGAAACACTGAAGTTGGTTGCTCAGCCAAAAGGGTTAGAAGAAGCCCTGCTTCTAATTCAGTATTGTGAGTGCTATGAGTATCAGAGTGAGCTTTCCCGTAATGCCAAAATGGACTTTCTTGATTCCTCATTCATTAGACATGTGAATAGATTCTAAGGAAAGATTAAGTTACACATAGCCACATTCTTGACATTATGGGGCCTGTATGAAAGGTTATTCCCTTTTCAGACAAAGACCAACCCCATAATTGTAGAGTTTAGTTGATGAATAATGTTTTTAACCTCAACGTGGTTTGATGGATATTGTACACTGGTTGAAAAGCCGGTGCCTGAAATCCAATCAAAAAGAAAAGAAATGCGAGAGGAGATAAACATGTAATTATGTATAAATATAATATGCCCTTCTCCAGTGTCTCAATTCTCGACCTTTCTTTTCTTTCTGTGTCCTACTTTCTTCAAATGACAACCTCCTTCTTGAGTTCAGGATCAAAACATGGTTATTCCCCCCCTCCCATCCTTCTTTTCTTCCTCTCTATCTGCGAGCATGTTTTACTTTTTCTATTACCAAATCCACACCTAAAATGTTTTAAGAAGTACTACTTTACTGAATTATCTCCCTTATTTTTTTTCTTTTGTATTCCTATATATGCAAGCAATGCCTCTCTTCAACTTTCTATATTTAATATTTTTATTACACATAGCATAATTATGCCTGTTTTTATAAATAAAAATGTAAAGGTAAAAAGGTAAAAGTTCCCCTTGCACATATGTGCTAATCGTTCCTGACTCTAGGAGGCAGTGCTCATCTCCATTTCAAAGCCGAAGAGCCAGCGTTATCTGAAGATGTCTCTGTGGTCATATGGCTGGCATGACTAAATGCCGAAGGCGCACAGAACACTGTTACTTTCCCACCAAAGGTGGTTCCTTTTTTACCTTTACATTTTTATTTATAAAAACAGGCATAATTATGCTATGTGTAATAAAAATATTAAATATAGAAAGTTGAAGAGAGGCATTGCTTGCATATATAGGAATACAAAAGAAAAAAAATAAGGGAGATAATTCAGAAAAGTAGTACTTCTTAAAACATTTTAGGTGTGGA